AAACAACTGCACCTCCCAGTCGCGAACCATTTCAACTCCCCCTCCCATTCCTCAGACGACATGTCCATCCTGGGCCTCCTGCAGTGCCACAACGATGCCACCCGAAGGTTGCAGGAACAGCAACTCATATTCCGCTTGGGAACCCTGCAGCCCAATGGTATCAATGTGGATTTCACAAGTTTCAAAATCTCCCCTCCCCCCACCGCATCCCAAAACCAGTCCAACTCGTCCCTGCCTCCCTAACCTGTTCTTCCTCCCACCTATCCCCTCCTCCCACCTCAAGCCGCACCTCCATCTCCTACCGACCAACCTCATCCCGCCCCCTTGACCTGTCCGTCCTCCCTGGACTGACCTATCCCCTTCCTAACTCCCTACCTACACTCACCTTTCCTGGCCCCATCCCCGCCTCTTCGACCTGTTTGTTTCCTCTCCACCTATCCTCTCCTCTATCCCTCTTCTATCCGCCTCCCACTCTCTCCCTATTTATTTCAAAACCCCCTTCCCCTCCCCCTTTTCTGATGAAGGGTCTAGGCCCGAAACGTCAGCCTCTCTGCTCCTATGATGCTGCTTGGCCTGCTGTGTTCATCCAGCCCTGCACCTTGTTGTCTCGGATTCTCCAGCATCTGCAGTTCCTACTATCTCTGATTCGCTTTTTAGGGGATGTTTGGCCTGCATGGGATTCCAGACCCACAGCAATGTGGTTGACTCTTAACTGCCCTCTGGGCAATAAATGCTACCTAACCAGTGACATCCTCATCCCACGAATGAATAAAGAAAAAAAAAATTTCAGCGTATCATCTGTATCCAACATTCGAAATGAAAAGCCTACCCGCAATCCTGATGTGATTTGTTTGTATTTTGTTGGTTTTGTTCTCAGCAGAACTGACCCTTTTGTTCCCCTAGTCACACTTAACATTTACACCTTTTTCACATCCCTATCGCTCCTTTAGCACCATTAGCACCCCCTTTCGTTGTTTGCTCTGAGCATTCCCACTGTCTAGTCCAAGCTTCCCACGTCCGTCTCTATCCACAGCATGAAAAAAAAACACCATTTTTCAGCCCGTTTTTATTCTGAAGATGAATCACATCAGACTCGAAATGTTAACTCCGTTTCTCTCTCTGCTGATGCTGGCAGACCGGTTGAGTTTCTCCATCACTCTATTGGTTTTTTTTAAATTTAAATGGGAGAGCCTTGGTTTTAAACTTATTTTGAGACTGAGTGCCAGCACGGAATGGCCTTCATCTCCAAACAGGCCATTCCTTTCGGGACAGAGGAGGCACGCAAACCTCTGAGTCGGAACGTTGAGGGGGTTCAAGTCCCATTCCACAAACTTGAGATCTAATCCTGGCTGAAACTCCAAGTGGGATGCTTTTGGATGAAACAGTAAAATTAGGTCCCGTCCACTCTCTCAGACAAACAGCCAATGGCAATTCATTTGGGGAAAAAAAAACACAAAGTCACCTTCAATGCCTGGGACAATGTTTAACTTCACAAACACTAGCCAAGAATATACCCTCTTCCAGGGAAGCTAAAGGAACTCTGTAGGCTTCTCCTATCAAATGCTACACCTCCCCCCACCCCGCAATCAATACTTTTCAAGCAGCTCAATCAACAACAACTTGAATTGATGTGACACCAGCCATACAACATCCCTGGCCCCTACGCAGGACGGCTATCAAGTCAAGGATAAGCATCAGTTCAAGGCCAATGAGCAAGGGGAAACAAATGCCAACCCTTGCCAGTGATGCCCACAACACGCTAAAGAATAAATTTTAAAAAGGAATGGTGAAGTTTAGACAGAGAATTCCACATTTTGGAGTCTTAGAACATGGCAACCAATCCTGTAAATATGAAAATGGAGTACGTATAAAAGACCAGCGAGGGAGGGTTGTAGAGATTTTAGAGGGCTGAGGGGCTGACACAAGTTGTGTACAATTCTGGTCGCCACTCTACCAGAAGGATGTTGCAGCTTTGAAGAGGGTACAGAAACAGTTTACCAGGATGTTGCCTGGTATGGAGGGCATTAGCTATGAGGAGAGATTGGAGAAACTTGGGTTGTTCTCACTGGAACGACAGACGTTGAGGGGCGACCTGATAGAGGTCTGCAAGATTATGAAGGGCATGGACAGACTGGACAGTCAGAAGCTTTTTCCCAGGGTGGAAGAGTCAGTTACCAGGGGCCATAGGTTTAAGGTGCGAGGGGCAAGGTTTAAAGGTGATGCACAAGGCAAGTTTTTTACACAGAGCGTGGTGGGTGCCTGGAACTGGCTGCTGGGGGAGGTAGTGGGACCAGATACAATAGTGACTTTTAAAGGGCGTCTTGACAAATAAATGAATAGGATGGGAATACAGGGATACGGTCCCCGGAAGGGGAGAGGGTTTTAGTTGTGATGGGCAGCATGTTAGTGCAGGCGTGGAGGGCCGAAGGGCCTGTTCCTGTGCTGTAATTTTCTTTGTTCTAAGTGCAGATGTAGGCAGGGGTGAGACCATGGCAGTACGCGAATCCAAGAATTTTAAAGCTACATTTCCAGAGTAACCAACCCCGGTGAAACAGGAGGTTGGGGAGCAAAAAGACGGGGAGAAAAAGACAGGGATCGAATTTAGAGGAGGCAGTGGCCTAGTGGTATTAGCAATAGACTTATTAATCCAGAGATTCATTTAACGTTCCGGGGACCTGGTTTCAAATTCTATCATGGAAAATGGCAGAATTTTGACACAATAAAGATTAAGGGTCTAATGATGAAACCGTTGTCAGTTGTTGAGTGAGAACCCACCTGGTCTGGTTTACACGTGACTCCAGACCCACAGCAATGTGGTTGACTCTCAACTTCCCTCTAGGCAATTAGGGATGGGCAATAAATTTTGAGCCTGGCCAGGGATGCCTGCATTTTATGGATGAATTTTTTTTTAAAAATTACCTGGAACTCTCCCGCAAGGCCTCCTCTGTAGATCCAAGTCTCACCTTCTGCACCCAGGACAACAGGAGCGCTGCCAGTACGGCACCCTGGGAAGGCGAAAATAGGAAGTTTCGTTAATCATCGCAGCAAAAAATTCGAAAAATTTTACAACTTGACAAACTGTACTGGAAGACTAAAATACTGCCAGTGCTGAAAACATAAAACAGCAAACTCTCAGTGGGTCCGGCCACATCTGTGGAGGGAGAAATGTTGGAAGGTCACCTCAAGCTGTGTGTTGAGGGATGTGACAAGGTTTGAGCAAATACACAGGGAGAGAAAGGTGGAGGGGCAGAGATTAATCAGGAGGTAAGAAATAGGAACTGGAGCAGGCCATTCAGCCCCATCTTCCTATAAAATCACGGCTCATCTGCCCTGGGCCTCACCTTCTTTGGTGCCACCTCCTCACAGCTGAAATGTTAAAGGGTTAATATCTGTTCTGCTGACATACAAGAAATTAGGTGCTTTGTGGGCGCCCCTGTCTCGCAGACAAAATGGGGTAATCTAATTATACTCTGCTCTCTGTAAATGTTGAATTAAGGCTAAAAGGATAAGGAACTACCTCGTCATACACATTGTTTTTGGGCAGCTAACCTTTGTTTTACTGTTAGATGATTAAGTTACGTGATTATAGGGGAGAAAAAAATTGTATCTTGTATGCATGTCTGACTGTGCTGTAAAAACCTATATAAAGAGAGGACGGTTCCCTTACAGACAGCATCGCTTGACACGGCTCCGCAAGCCCTGCGAAGACTGTTAAGTGATCGTCCAAAGTTTGTACTTGCTTAAATAAACTGTGGTTTTCACAGAAGTCGGCGTATTGCGTTTGTATCAAGTGCAAAGGAATCTCCTAAACGGGAACTCAACATTTGGTGGCAGCGGTGGGATTCCAACGTATACGGAACTTCTAGACGGATTGAATAAGTGATAGCCTGTCTGACGGTGACTTGAGACGGATGGGCCCACAAGGTAAGATTTACCTTGATCTCTCTCATTAACCTATCACTCAGTCGATCCCTCGTCCCCTAGAACTCTGTAGTAACGGAATCTCCGAGATAACCTACGTACTTGTACGCTGACGAGTTCATCTCAGGGAGGTTAGAGTCCCCCTGGAATTCGGGGGTTAGAGTCCCCCTAACTGTAAGTACCAGGAATTCGGGGGTTAGAGTCCTCCTAACTGAAAGTGTCGGGAATTCGGGGGTTAGAGTCCTCCCAACTGTAAGTGTCAGGAATTCGGGGGTTAGAGTCCTCCTAACTGTAAATACTGGGAATTCGGAGGTTAGAGTCCTCCTAACTGTAAGTACCAGGAATTCGGAGGTTAGAGTCCTCCTAACTGTAAGTGTCGGGAATT